GTGACGGTAGCGGCCGGCTGCTCGGTGTCGCTGAACCGCGCCAGCTCGTGCTCAACGGCCTCTACTGGCGGCGCGGTGAGCACACGCTGAACGTGCCGCTGCTTGCTGGTGGCCCCGATGGAGAGCCGCCCGGGTGTGGAGGCCTGCCGCTGGGCCGGGTCTCAGCCGGAGCTGCGCCACACGTAGTACATCGACATCGGGTGCATGCAGGCATTGACGGCGGGAAGTGACGCGCTGTCCTCGCTGCACGGCCGCCGCGCCACCGATGCGACCGCCTGGGATATGGCTAGCCTGCCGGTCGAGCGGCAGGGCCTTCGGCGCACCGCGCTCGACGCCTACCTGCGCGCCCCGCCGACTGGCCGGCTGGCGGAGGCCAGCTTCCGCTCACATTGCGGCCTGGTGCTGGATGTTCAAGGCAGTGCTGAGCTGGCTCTCACCGACGACTCAAACCGGTTATGCGCGCTCGCGGCTAGCGCCTCCTGCGTCATTTTGGCGACTTCAAAAATGCACGCAAGCAGCTGCTGAAGAGCTTTCATCTGGAGTCAGCCTCAGAAGTGCAAACTGCTGGCGCGGTGACGCGATGACGCGGCGATGGCCTGCGGGACGACCTGGCACAGCAGCGTCGGTCGCCGACCGGATGCTCCTGGAGGGGTGCCTGCCACCGGCGTGCGGCTACGGTCTCGGCGCAATTCTCACCCTGAGGGTGCTCGTGCTTCTCCACCCGCACCCTCACCCCCCACCCGCAACAGGTACGGCTCTGGGCACTGCTGAGAGGCACACTGCTGCAACTGCGACCTGACCTATCAGAAGCCGCCGTCACCACAGCCATCAACGCCTTCCAGCGCCTGGAAACGGCCGTCAGCGAGGTGCGCATCGGCCGCCGTCACGTCCGCCCTGGCCCGTCGGGAGACCTGCGGCTGCTGGAGATCAGCCCCCCCTGGCCTAACACTGGAACGGTTGCAACCATGCCTTGTGCGAGTAGGTTTTGGACCATATCCCGTCTTAACGCGGAAACTCTGTCGCCGGTCTGTGCCCTCCGTGTATGTTATGCACCCGTCGCCGACGCGGCGGTGGAGACGACCGGGAGTGATGGCAAACCCGAAGCGTTGGAACCATACATACTGCAGGTTATTTTGATGGCAGTATCTAGACTGTCTGGCCACGAGCTGTTAATGGGCGTGTACGAGTGCGTGGAGGGCCGGGATTAAAACTGCGCCATTAAGCCGTTGGCCTGGTCATCCGGAAAGCGGCCGAAGGCAAAGCTTCTGCCTGGCTGCTGTACAGTCGGTGGGCCCGCTCCGTCAAGCCCAGTAGCTTGCCAGTGACAGCACCTACTCCTTTGCTGTCTGGGCCGCTAGTGCCATCTACGTGTGCTAATGGCTGAGTTTCAATCTTACATGTCCACAGGTGGACAGGGCGCCCCAGGGCCAGCTGCTCACCGATGAGGACACACCATTCCGCGCCGGCCAGACTGCGTTGTTGCTTTGTGCGGCCTAGTGGCGGCGCGGCTTGGCCGTTTGTACACCGAGTCGGAGCGGCGACGGGCCGTGCTCCGTATCCGCTTGGCGCCAGAGGCACAGCAAACAAAAACTGCCAGCATAGAGAGCAAGAGCGCGAGAATCGGTGGGCTATCTGTGACTTTCCTCCCGTACATCGCGACATCCCACCACGCGCCAAGCGTTCACCCGACTATTGCCCATCCGCTCGGCCTACGAGGGCTGCTTGTAACGCGTGGCAGTGTAACGATTCGGATCACGTGCTGCCTGGACCGCCAAACAGTTGTCTAGATTACCCAAAAAAGACCGTGGGTACCACTGTCAATGTCTCGCTTTAATCAAGCGCCCATTCACACGCAGTGCTTCAGACATGTTATGTGTTTGTCGCGCACTCATGTGGTGGAGTTTCGTACCTGGACCCAGGCCTGTGAACAACAGCGACCTTTTCGTGCTTGTTTGTGCCAGGTGTGTGATAAGCAAGCCATGATCGTCTTGAATGAAAACCCAGATTTTCAACATTGTCGTGTGATTTTCCAGCATGGCACACATGCCGGACGAGCTACTGTGCGGTAGCCGGAGATCCAAACAAAAAGGAAGAAACGTGAACATGTTTTTCTTCTGCCGTAGGTGGATTATAACCACGGTTATTTGTTTATCCCTCTGTAAAGATCTAAATAATGTAGTCATTCGGGAATTTCACCTATGACGAGTGCAATGACAACGATGGGCAGCGAAGGTGGTAATAAAGTACATTGTCGTTGCACTAGCCAGCATTTGTAATTCATTTTCAATGACACCCTCGTTAAAGGTCCAGCTGGCTTTTCGTTAAAAGAATGTTTCCATTTTTCACTCAGTTAGTTAAAGCTGCGTGCATCAGGCCTCTGCAGTCAAATTACGAACCGTGTTGGGGCGCCAGCAGCTGGGCTCTAGGGGTAGTTTCGGCGTTGAATTTTTCGAAATTAGATAAATGATGTCCGTAAAGATACAAAAACTGCCTGTAATCCGCCCCTGTTGGCAGAAGCCAACACGTTTATTTGCTTTCGTTAAGTGTGGGCGTAATGCAACCTGGCCCTGTGGCTCTCTGACTGCGGAAACTTCTGGCCTAAAATACTTCCAGAGGGCACGCGCACACTGCCTCATACTTTGAACCTAAACGGGTAGGCAAGCGACGTCCAGTCTTGATGTTTCAGAATTCCTAAAGAACTAGAAAAAAGCGTGGAATAATGTTGCTTGTTCGGGTGACTGCGTATTTTCCAACTTGCTGATTTACAGGATTTCGTTTAAGCGAATGCTGCGTGCTTAGGCCTATGACCTACAGCCAAGTATCTCAGTGCTTTTTTCAAGTTTGATCTCAGTTGCTGTCTCCTTGCAAGTTACGAATATTCTGAGATGTATGTTAGCAGAAAATATATGAATGTAGCATGGTGGGTATTTGAAGCGGGAACTACAGTTTTACTTGATCTATCACTTGGTAACCCCCACAAGGATATTATCCGTGACGTCGGATAGTTGCCCACTTTCATTTTGCTACGGCATCACAACAATTATTGACATTTTAAAGCCATTTTACTGACATGTTAGTAAATACCGCGTACCCTGCAACACAGAACCCCTTCCCCCACCCCAGAACCTGCTCAGTAGAAGCGCACACACACACACTCCAAACTGGACAACAGCTTGTGTAGAAATGAAATATTTATGACTAGCAGCCCGGGAGGTAAAAAAAAGCCAACAGTGAGCGCAAATACGATAGCATCTGATGTAAACAATGTGATATTTTGGTGCATTTCTACCGTAATTGTTGCAACACATAGAGCTTCATCCGATAAATTAGGTACAAATTCGCTTTCATGGTCCACTCGGCGCGAACAAACCTGCGTCTTTAACCTTGACAACAAATCATGGCCGCTGCCTAGGACTATTAGCGTATTGCATAGTTGGCTAAGACACTGCAATTAAAATCTCTCAACACGGAGCCTGTGAAAAAATTACTTCTGATTTTTGGTAGAGAGCTATAGGTTGTTACATTTTACCTGAAAACTCCTTTGATGTAACGTATCAACTCTGTAATGTGCAAAACCCAGTAAGAGCTAAAAAATAGACCTAATAGGCCACGTACCAAATGCCACCTGGGGTGGCTTAAACGACATTTACGTTGTGAACGGAGCTACAGTGGCCGGTAAGAAAGGAGTGTTTGGCAGGCGCAGTATTAGGCAAAGAAATAGTAATTTCAGTGGTGGTGCTGGAAGGCTATGGTTGGAAGTGTCAACAGTGGATGTTTGAGCCATGGTATAGAAGACTGCATGCATATATGCAGGAAAATGGCAGATACAAATTCACATAACCACATTCCCCAAGTTGTATTCTATTAAGTATGACAGATGTTATAAAGACTCCATTGCAGCAGGGCTGCATCAATCAACTGAAATTTGGAAATATTTTAAAGTGGTTAATACACATTGTTTCCATTCACTTGTAACAGTTTTAAGGAACACCTGGGATGTTTTTTCATGATGTTGAGTCGCCTCAGCTCTCCCAACTCTAAGGAAAAAGTGGGAAAAGGTGGATACATTTTCCATGCTCAGCTTCTCAAACTTTCATGAAAGATTGTGACCCTGAGTGATACTTTGCTGAACCTCGAAAATCAAGGCTGACAGGAATATCAGGGAGACTTTAGTTCTTGCTGTTTACATTGACATCACTCTAGACTAGTGTTTGGCTCTCGCTGGAACTCAGCTTAATCCTAAACCGTATGTTGATCTTTGCTGGATCTATACATGTTCCAGGTCAGATCTTAGTTTTTACCAAATCTCTTGATATGAAGTCAGACTGAACCCTGGTTTTTGCCGGATTTCTCGAATTAAGATGAGGTTGAATCCTGGTTCTTGAATTTTTCGGCTAAATATGAGGCTGCACATTGGTTCTTGATAGATATCTCGGCCTAATCCCCGACTGGTCTCTGGGTTCTTCCTGGCTCCGGAGCCAGGAACCAGGAACCGGCTGCCAGGAAAAAGTCTTGGGGAAACAGGGTTATGTCTGTTGCGGATATGAGCCTGAACCCACACCCATACCAATCTCCTTTCCACGGGCCACCTCGTCCAGCGCAGCTAAGCAACAAGCACAGCCGCCCATAGGAGGAACTCGACAGCAGATATCACCGCCTGGGATACAGCCAGGACATCCCTCAGCGTCCCCGGGGAGAGGTGTAATGTGTGCAGGGTCAGCTGGCTGATCACCCGGCCAGCGCCCACGATGCCACCCCCCCCCCCCCCCCCCCCCCGGGACGCAGTCGGACGCAGACGGACGCGTGGACACTAGGACAAGGGTAAGCGATTGATAAGTTGGTGCATCGTACGCATTGTGACGTCAGCGGTGTTTGTCGAGTTTTGGGCGCAGTTGCATGGACCGTCTGACGGTGAGTACACCTCTGCTCTGCTTTCTTGTTTCCTGAAGGTATGACGACACGGCACAGCACGGCACGGCACGGTGCGGCATGACTCAACACAGAATTCACGGTATATTTGTGTTGGTAGTTATACAAGAATGAAAACGATATCAGGAAATCCCATGTGTTTGGAAGATACGGGCTTCAATACAAGTAGCGTATTTTTTCACGCTATGTTGTCTATTGGAAGGTGCGTAATATTGGCGGCCGTCGTTTTAATGACGGGTTTTCGGTACAGTTCGACGGCAAAGTAGCATTGTATGGTAGGGGTAGGCTCGGGTGCTGCAGACTTTTTCTTACTTGAGCCCGATCGAGTAAGCGAGGAATTTTTCTTCTTTTTGGTTTCCTTCTTGTCTTCCTTTGCGGCTTTCTTCATAGCAGATTTCCTCTCCTTCTTTTCGTCCTTGATAGCTTGGATAGCATCCTAAGGACGACGGTAACACAATTTTGACATGTTTCATGGTGATAAGCCAGCTTTTGTCATTCTACGCAGCTTTCAAACAGAACGCTTAATAGTTATACACAAGTTTGTTCACTCGCAACCCCCGCTCCGTGCCCCCTCCCATTCTCCCCTCTCTCGCTTTCGCCGTTTGTCCTGGCACAGGTCAGGAAATAAGTCCTTGCTCCAAATGTTGGGAATAGATATCATCCCCACCGTGGTGCCCATCTCACCGCCCAGTGAGTCCCGGAGGTGAGGCCCCTCTGTCGCCGCTCGAGGTAAGCCACGGCGCCCCTCCTGGTAAGGCCCAGCAGTGGCCGTCTCACCGCCCAGTGGGTGTCGGTGAACGCGGCCGGTGCGGCGGCGTCCGAGGCCGTGCCGTACAGCAGCAGCGGTGCCGTCGGCCGCAGCAGTCCCCGCAGTGGCAGCAGCACCGCGCCCAGGCTGGTCTCGGGGGGCGGCCGGTCGTCGTCCTCCGGCGGCCGCTCGTCGTCCGCGTGCTTCAGACCAGACCCGGCACGACCCTCCGGTCAGACAGGCTCGCTCGGAGTTATGGCTTAAGTGTAGCCCACGATGTTTGGCTCAGGCGGTAATGTGAAGGTGGGTGCATTTTACGCGAAGAAATGAAGGTATTTGAGGGACATTAATTGGAAACTTGACAATGTGAAACAGTGTTTCATTCCGTCCAGTTCCTGAAAACACTCCAATTAGTAGTTGCACTGAACTGGAATTGCAAGAGCGAAAGTTTACACCAATTTCAGCAAGTTATTGGGAGAAATCCAGGGATATCCTATTACGCTGAGTGCCCCTGTGACGTGGAGACGAACACGGATGCAGCCATTCGAGGAGAGGACAGAGGAGGCATGACGTCCAAGAATGAGACGTTGTCCCCGATGATACACATACAATGTACGTTTACAACGTTTTCCCTTTAAAAATACGACTTCCGTTTCAGGGCATCCCGGATCAAGGATTGACCTATATAAACCGAATTTGTCATCTCTCAATCTCAGAGACGTGGCTGCACCAATGGAGCGAAGGGTCTGCGTGTCAGCCAAGGGAACCACAGTGCATAAGAGGGGCTACTATGCCGTCAAGTGGCTCATGTGCTGAACAAGGATAAGGACGACAACCCGAGTGTCAGATGGTATCTTCTGCTGGTTGAGACCTCCCTTGCCTAGCAGTCGGAGCTCGCTTTTTGTTTTAAGTGATGTGCATCGGGCCAGCCATCGTGGCAAAAACTGCGCCGACAATGTGCAGACTGGTGGCCAGGTGTTATTGTGCGTTGTGAAAGCATTTCATGTGAAATGACAGTACCTATCACATCTTTGATGACCTCCAGCCTCAGAGTTCCCTGCTCTGCACAATATTGTTTGCCATGTCGATTGCCGTCAGTGAACTGGCAGGGTAAGCTGCGCCTCGACAAGACTGCTGTACACTTGGAGTCATGTACCAGAGGGCCGGACCGCTTTGTGAAAACTCTGGTCGGAGCGACGGATTGCATGTCCATGTGGTATATGTGGCGATGCGTTGCGTCTTCAGGTTGTGGATGCGCCGAACGCGTACGTGTTCTGTTGGCACGAATTAGCCCCGCTTAATACGCTACCTTGTAAACGTATCCGACTCAGTAGGCCCAGCTGGAAGCCGCAGGGCCCTTCTGGCCGTTCAGTGGCTCCTTTTTGCTACCAGAGGCACTCTGGTAACTGGCTTGTCCTTGATGCTACCGGGGGCCCTGTGTGCTTTCAAAGCCCCCTCAGGACACCAAAACGGTTTCGAGACTACCCCGAGGACTTTTTAGCCGATCAGACGTCGCATTGGCCGCTCAGGGGCTTTGCGTGCCTAGGCCGCTTATGGCAGGCCGCTTATGAGCTGTTTTAGTTACTCATGACTCTTCTATTCACCATGGATCCCCTCTATCCATCGAAGAGCCCCTAGCCGGTATTATCCCCTCTGGCTGTTCAGGCACTGCGCTAGCTGCCAGGGACCACTGTGGTCATCAATCGGCTCCTTAGATTGACCAGGGGTCGTTGAGGCCACGTAGATTGTCTGGCTTTTGAGAGACTACTGGTACCTCGGCGGCCCGTCCGGTCGCCAGAAACATGTAACTGGACAATGACGGCCTTGTAGACACTCGGACCTAGGCCTTTGCTTTCTCAACATGGCGGCAAAATGGCATGGCGCATAAAGCACTCGTTTTTTTCAAATTCGTTGAAATATCATTTGGTAAAACGCCAAAAACCGTCCGTACGTCTCGTTAGCTCACTGCTACCTCATTGCATACTTGTCACCTCACTTACCTCAACTGCTTACCTCATTGCGTCACTTATTCATTCCCCTGGTCTTACCTTCCCTTCCTTTCCCATGGATTTTATCTTGCCTTTCACTGCCTTTTCACTGGTATCTTTTGTTTTCTTTTTGGCCCCCTTTTCTACCGTCTTTTTGTTCTTCTTTCCATCTTGTTCGCCTGAACGTTTCTTATCATCTTTTTTGCTTTCCTTTTTAGGATCCTTTGTCTTCCCCTTTTTTATCTTCTTTGGACTCCATTTCTGAAAGTTAAACAGATCACGGAATGAAATAAGTTGAATAACATGTATATCTGTGATGAGCTGAATGACAACACGTTTTCAAACCTGTCAAGTTATTATCAATCTACCGTTGCTTTGAGCTAATGGTTATTTCAAAGCACAAATAAGTTAGGCGCAAAGTTACATTAATCACACTCTTTCGCTCTTCTGGCAAATTACCACCTGGCTCAGCTCAGGTAACTCTGGACCCTACACGCAGCTGTCCGTCGAGCGTGCCCCGGTGTCACGGCGGCGGGACGAGCCATCGCGAGCCAACTCCTCCTTACCTCCCATCGCAGAACCTCCACCCGGAGGCCGGCGAGCACGGCGTCCCGAAGCCGGCCCAGCTACTCCTTACCTCCCGTCGCAGAACCTCCACCCGGAGGCCGGCGAGCACGGCGTCCCGAAGTCGGCCCAACGACTCCTTACCTCTCGTCGCAGGATCTCCACCCGGAGGCCGGCGAGCACGGCGTCCCGAAGTCGGCGCAGGTCGGAGCAGTACCACTCGAGCGGTGTCTCCAGCACCGTAACGTCACTGCGGTCCAGCAGCAGCGCCTCCAGCGGGCCGAGCGCGTTGCTTTCGTCGGCTGCGGCGCCCCCAGCAGCGTCCTCCTGCTCGCAACCAGAACATTCCGCTGTGACAACACTCGCTCTGGCAAGATGCCTGCCATCGCCAGAATACCACGAGGTGCTAACCTTCGCTCTAGCGGGACGCCTGCCGTCGCCAGAACACTCCGCTATGGCAATACCTGCTCTGGCAGGACGCCTGGCGCCGCCAGAATACTGCGGAGCGTTGACCGTCGCTCTGGCAGGACGCCTGCCGCCGCCAGAATAACCCGGGGTGGTAACCTTCGCTCTGGCGGGACGCCTGCCGTTATCAGAATACCGCGCTATGGTAGCCCTCACTCTGGCGGGACGCCTGCCGTCCCCAGAATACCGCGCTGTGGTAACCCTCGCTCCGGCAAGACTTCACCCAAACAACAGCCCATTTTCTAAACCATTGGCTCTGGTAAAAGCCTGCTCTGGCAACAGTCTGCTCTAGCACCAGTCCGCTCTGTTAGCGCTCAGTTGTGGTAGCCATCTTCTTTGGGGATGGTATTTGTTGGAACAGTCTCTGTTGTGGCGACAGTTCGCTTTGGCACAATCGGCGATGTCGGGAGTCTGCTTTGCTAACCGGCTGTTCCGATCCCCTCCCCCTCCCCTCCTCCATTGCCTATGTGTTTCGTTTCCCCTTCTTCGTATTCGCTCTTGAACAGTCTTGCAATACAGGGAGGGGACGGGGCACAGCGGTTGATAGGAAAACTTTACGTAAGCATGACGGAGGGAGAGCTAGGTTATGCCTTCCTTTGGTTATTGGGAAACCTTTCCGATTTCCGACACCAGGAACTAGAAGAAAAGAAAATGGAGCAAGGGGACAAAATCTAAAAAAGCAAACAAAGCTTCGCCCCAAATGCTTTCAAAGCTAGTTCAGGACGGCATAAGGAACTGTGAGACTGCCATAGTAGCGTGGCCACAAACGATGGCGGGATATACTCAGGCTCAGGCCCCAGATATCCCGGATCTAAGAAGAGACGGGTGAACTAAAGCGAGCATGCGTTTCCAAATCCAGGAATGAAAGCGACAAGGATGAGGCCTGTAGTATTTTCATTGCTAGTCTGAATGACTATCGACACGTCAACGTTGCAGTTTTATTCAGGCTACAGAGGCCGTGCTTCACGTTGTCACCCGAGCGCTCCAGACACACAAATGTGCCGCCTCGCTGCCTTCCAGAGCGGCACAGCCTATCCCGGGCCGCACACAGCGCACTACCAGCTCCACGGTCCCTACATATGCTCAATGGTGCTGGGGGACCTCTTCCGACCCGGAACTTAAAGCAACCCTTGGAAAAGCAGTTCAAAGGGGTGAGGTCGGGTGGGGATACAGACCAGCCAGGCACCTCGTGTAAGTAATGAGCTGCTCTACGAAGTGGTCTCGAGACCAGCTCCTTGCCATGTCAGCCGTGAGCTGAAGCTCTGCCTTTCTAGAGCCACTGCTGATCCAGCCGCAGCATGTCGCCGCATGTTGCCGCAAAACACGTGAGGAGCCTCCAGAACACAGCGATCACCTGCAGGAGCAGCTTGTTGACTGTCACAGCCGTGCCGTTATGATTCTCGAACCAAAAGGTCCGTTTGTGCCCTGCTGCTAACGTTGCACCATGCAACGCATGTCACACTATGTCGAGCTTACTCCACCACCACAAGCCTTCCGGTGAATTACGCTAGTCGCTGAACCAGACTTGATGCAAAAATGCACTCTCAGTCATGTACTTCTTCCAAAACTAACCCTTGTAACGCTGTAAAGCTAGCTACTGTTGGTTTTCGTTGTTCAAGTGCCGCTGAAACTTGCAATTTCCTCGGGTTATTGCAATGGATTTTGTCTCGAATAGAACTGCACAGTCCTTGCTTTCACATATGTCGTGTGCAGCTGCACGGTTGCATGTGGGCGATGAAACTGGTATCAAACATTATAACACTACCCTGTTGTTTTTTATATTCCCATGTATATAGCCTGTTGTACATTCACACCACAAAAGGAAGAGAAGCGTCTGTTTTTCTCAGAACCACTGATACTTATCAGCCTCGCGCATTTTCCTCTCGCTCCAACAGCGCTTTGTCAATAGCTAGTTTTATCACATGCATTTACTCAAGTCTACCACATGCAATGAGAATGCAAACATCATCGATCACAATCATCATCAAAACGGCGCAAGGATGGTCATTGTTCCCACACCAAATAAAGCCCCATTATATGAACAACATACGAGCAATCATCGTTGGCACCCACAGTGGCATTCATCACACTGAAGTCCACCAGAGCAGCACTCGCCAATGCGGCACCCATCACAGTGCGCTGGCTACCATCACAGCAGCTCTCGCCTAAGCGACACCCATCACAGAACACCGGCTATCACCGAAGCAGCAGCCGCCAAAGCGGCACCCCAGAAGCAATGCACGTCCAATCGGCCCCGTAACAGCGGCACGCGTCGCATCGGCTTCATCGAAGCGACGCCCAGCCACCGGCAGCCTTGAGAGCTGCAGCTTGCAGTAACCACGGCCAGCTGCCATCTCCCAGCCACTGACAGCCTTGAGAGCTGCAGCCTGCAGTAACCACGGCCAGCTACCATCTCCCAGCCACCGGCAGCCTTGAGAGCTGCAGCCTGCAGTAACCACGGCCAGCTGCCATCTCCCAGCCACTAGCAGCCTTAGAGCTGCAGCCTGCAGTAACCACGGCCAGCTGCCATCTCCCAGCCACCAGCAGCCTTGAGAACTGCAGCCTGCAGTAACCACGGCCAGCTGCCATCTCCCAGCCACCGGCAGCCTCGCGAGCTGCAGCCTGCAGTAACCACGGCCAGCTGCCATCTCCCAGCCACCGGCAGCCTTGAAAGCTGCAGCCTGCAGTAACCACGACCAGCTGCCATCGCAGCACACTGTTTGATCCTTTGCCCCGCACTTCTCCGCGGGTCGGAGCGCCTCCTCGCGCCGTTTAATGCATTCCTGCTTAGAGCCTTTTAAAAGAATTCCAGAAGCAGTCTTGCAAAACATTGCAATTAGGGGGCGGGGTCTCACCTAGTGAATGTTGAGCATGTGTGGGGAGATAACCAGTTGAGGCTATTTACCAATATTTGGGGCACTGGTGTGGAAGAAAATATGGTTATGATGGAAGCAATATGCTATATTGTGCAAACATCTCCCGCCCATGTAGTAACTTATATGTGCTGATGCGCATGCGGTCATCGATGATATTTACATTCCAAGATATCTGATGAGTCATCGATCTTTCCCGGCCAGTACAGGAAATTTCAGACGGGTGATAGGTATTTTAAAGCGCAGCAAATTTTCATACTGTGCCGTTGGGTGTTGTTGCGATCCGATGGAGAACACGGGATGTGTCACAGGAGACCTAACCTGGCATCATATAGCTGGCGATGCCGGTGACATATCTGGTGCATTATACAATACGTTTAACATACTATAACTTAACTGATGTACACAAACTACGATCCATAACACCTACGGCAACGCATCTCATCACCAGAATGCGTACGGAGTACACACGGACAAAAGAGATGATAGAGTATGATCGGAATTGCGTGCGCATTATGGTCATGCGTGGTATATGTGTGGGAACACTGCTGGAAGGCTGGTGTGCGTAAAACTGCCGTCTACGATCTGAACTATCTTATTTTAAGATTACGGCGTAAGAGCGTAAAAAACGATATAGCTATAGATTTTCTGAGCAATACAAGTTGTCTTATAGCCTTAAATATATTTAATTGCTGTAATGAAAAACAATCTTCACAGTAGAGTATGCATATGAGTGTTTTCTGCATTAGCAGTTAGAGACAGCGTCGCGCGTGGCTCATGGTCCGAGAGTATTCACCCTTGGTGAATGATCTGCGGTATTCTTGCACGCAGTCGTCACTTCGCGGGAGAGCTGATCAAATTCCTGTGTAACGCGACACCTGACAGGTCGTCAGGAAACGACGCCGTCCAGTGTTACATTATTGGTAACAGCCTCTAACGAACTGGTATGGAACGATCCAGCGAGTCTGATTGCGCTGTTGAAATAATCGGTAAAGAACCCTCTAAAAGTCTGCTTCAGCTTCGGGGCTAAATAACGACATCTGGAAGTTGTAACTGATGACCTGGACCCGCTGACTGCTATGACACTCTTTTTCTCCTTCTTCGGGAAACATTAGTAATGTGCGGTAGTTTTCGATCGATCTGATCATCTTGGTATTACCTTACTGCGGCGAAAAGGCTGGACGCTGATGGAGCAGTCAGCTGGGTAAAAAGGCAAATCAAACTTGACGTTGACATCTGCATTTTCGTCTGCTAGATCTCTTAGTGTTGACCTTTTAGCGGCTCAGATTGTAGCGAGATGGAATCAAAGATTAAAATCGCGACACGCCCATAAGATTGGAAGGAACGACCGTGAAATGCTCTGATGGGTGGCCTACGGTACTGTGTAGATGCTCTAAAGTCGTGTTTTACACCACACAACCTGCACGAGCTCTGCTGCAGGTCTTTTGTTTTCACTCGAAATTGGAGATCAGATGTGGTTTGGAACGCAATGCATTGCCAAGAGAGACTTTTAAAGTCCTGCCAGAGTACTTTTTTGGCGGGATCAGAAGTCGGCCGCTATTCAGAAGTGAACCAGGGATTGTTAGGACAGTCATGTTTCGTACCTGCCCTGGAAGTGGTGAGGTAGATGGCGGGCTGACCTGGGTGCTGCCCCACTGGAACACCACGCACAGCTCTAGCCCCGGCCACTGCGAGACGCAGGCAGCAGTGTCAGCTCCACCACCGTCTGACTACAGCTCGAGCCCCGGCCACCGCGAGATGCGGGCAGCAGTGTCAGCCCCACCACCGTCCGACAACAGCTCCAGCGCCGGCCACTGTGAGACGCAGGCAGCAGTGTTAGCCCCACCACCGTCCGACTACAGCTCCACGCACAGCCCAGCCCCGGCCGCTGCGAGACGCAGGCAGCGGCATCAGCTACACAGCCTTCCGACTACAACTTCAGCCCTGGCTACTGTGAGACGCAGGCAGCAGTGCCAGCTCCACAGCCTTCCGACTACAGCTCCAGCCCTGGCCGCTGCGAGACGCGCGCAGCAGTGTCAGCTCCCACCACCGTCCGACTACAGCTCCAGCCCTGGCTACTGCGAGACGCGCGCAGCAGTGTCAGCTCCCACCACCGTCCGACTACAGCTCCAGCCCTGGCTACTGCGAGACGCGGGCAGCAGTGTCAGCTCCACCACCGTCCGACTACAGCTCCGGCCCTGGCCGCTGCGAGACGCAGGCAGCAGTGTCAGCCCCACCACCGTCCGACTACAGCTCCAGCCCTGGCTACTGTGAGACGCAGGCAGCAGTGTCAGCTCCACAGCCTTCCGACTACAGCCCAGCCCCGGCCGCTGCGAGACGCAGGCAGCGGCATCAGCTCCACAGCCTTCCGACTACAACTTCAGCCCTGGCTACTGTGAGACGCAGGCAGCAGTGTCAGCTCCACAGCCTTCCGACTACAACTTCAGCCCCGGCCGCTGCGAGACGCGTGCAGCAGTGTCAGCCCCACCACCGTCCGACAACAGCTCCAGCGCCGGCCACTGCGAGACGCAAGCAGCGGTGTTGGCCCCACCACCGTCCGACTACAGCTCCACATACAGCTCCAGGCCCTGCCGCTGAAAGACGCGGGCAGCAGTGTCAGCTTCACCCTTGTTAGGCTACAGTTCCACATACAGCTCCAGCCCCGGCAAACTGTGAGACGCAGGCATCGGTGTCAGCCCCATCACCGTCCGACTACAGCACCACATACAGCTCCAGGCCCTGTCGCTGCATCACGGCACGTCATTCTGCCGCTGCGCCGTGTAGCCTGGGCGCTGTGTCAAGCGCTGTACTCCAGCCCGGTCCGGCCGCTGGCCCAGATGGGGTCACGTCGCTCTGCCATCGACCGGTGCCGGCGGCGGTCGTCCTGCTGCTCGCTCCTGGCGCTCCGCGTGTGCCCCTCCCCCCCCCCCCCCCCTCTCCACCCCAGCTGGCCGTGAATTGTAGCGCAAACAGACAGCACCGCCCGGGGCGGCGTTACGGCGAAACTTTGCAGCCGAGCTGCTGCCACGAATGGACCACGCCGCACAAAGAGCTGCTGTGTTCCATAAGCTTCGGGAGAAAGTTGAAGACGATCCATACTTTCAGTGACTTGAGTCTTGGCAATGGTGCGGTGGTGGTGTGAGTTATGTATTTTCATACGTATCCTCGCCTGGTGACGCACCAGGTCTGTGTTGTTTAATACCGCATATTTGATTCCAAAGTTCACCCTCGAGTTATTGAGGTATTATCTCACTTGGGTGACGTTATGGGACCGCTAGCTCGTAGAATACCCTCGCTGTCGCGATAATGTGGTGTTGAAGCATTGATATGTTTGTCTATAGTAAGGTTCTGCAGGCGCCTACTTAACGTTTTGCTAGAAGAGCCACAGATGTTTGAGTGAGTGCCAATGCTTTCTCAGCCTGTCATGCGATTGTTCTGTCTGATTTCTCTGACAAATGGAAGATGGAGTGGCGTTGCATAGCACGCGACAAGCTTTGTGTACAAAAATCTAGCGTTTTTGCCGATTTTGCTCGCTGGTCAAGTACCTAATGGGCATGGCGGAGGGAAACTGTAAATTCAAAGGAAAGGTGGTTTTACAAGCTGCAATTCTGCACCACTGACGGCTTCAAAAACATCCAGTATCACATTTGCACTGAATGCATATCAATGCACATGCACAAGGAGAACGACATCTAGAGCACGTCTGAGCATAATTGGTTCTCAGACTGAGATCCTTAGGCGGTTGTCACACCATTTTTATATGTTTCGGCCGGTCACTTGCTAAATGTAATCAGTTGCTAGGCAAATTAGAATACACATATGTGCAAGTCTACAGAGGGTCATTCCATCAACACTCGCAGTGTCCATCTAAAGTTGCAACGTTTGAGCACTTAGCAACGGTGTCATGGCTGCCGCGACTATAAACTACAAACTTTCAACGCAATCAGTGCCATAACACTATTGTGTTTTGCGTTGCCAATGAGCTTGTTCTTTTGGTTCAGCATATCGGTACATTCCATCACCAGGGGCATCACTTCATAAAGTTTCGGAGGGAGGACGGGGGAGGAGGGGCAACCCCGTCCGTCAATGCAACTTGAGGCCTTGAATGCTCCCCTGAGGCCCCAATGAAGAAAACATGAATGTTTGCTCGATGAAATACGGAAGATTTCAAAACAGATAAATCCGCGCTTACAAGACAATCCAGCACACCAGACACATTATTCCAGCTCTTTTCTGTGTTATGCCAGTCTGCAAACATTGACGGGTTTTTCATGACTTACCACATTGATCGGGCCAAAAAATGAACTGTTTTACGCAGCAATTTTGAAGCATGAGATGCCTGGTTTTAAGTAGCGATGATTTATCCAAAGGCTGAATGATTACTGACCACGAACGTCACACTTCAAGAACATTGCATAAGCATCACGAACATGATCATTAAGGCTTTTGCATCCTGTAATCCAATACGCGGTACTGTGTTAAGAGCTGTCTGAAACACAGGCAAATAAACCGAAAGGCTTCAATGTCTCGCACCGAACAAAGGCATGGACAGAAACTTGCCAGTGGGTGCCAGTCTCCGCAGGAAGGCTAGAAAACGTTTTATAAAAAGGCACATACTGAATAATGCTGTTCGAGAAGCGTGTTTAGCTGCTCAGAAGCTAAGCGTAAGATGACGCTTACATGGTTAGCCGCGGGAAAACATTAGGTCTACGCAAAAAATCTGATAATCTAAATTATCGTGGTCTTTAGCTGCTGCTAAGATTTTTACTTTAACGTTGGTCTTTGCTGCAACGTGCTCCATTGACGCGTATAAAACTACCATACGTGCACCAAGCATTCTGTGCACTCTCCGTAAACGTACGTTTCCAAGCCAGCGACGAATGCTTGGTTTATTCAAGCTTCACACAGTGCCTCATGGTAGAGGTTGCAAGAAACGCTATATACCACGTTCTTTCGTGGGTACTCTCCCTGCGTACATTTTCCTTCCAGCCAAGCGACCCATGTGTGGCGAACTCTAATCCCAGTTGGACACACTGGGGTTTCGAGGGCAGATCAAATTGGCAGGACTTCAGGCCAGCAACACCAGCCCTTGCTACCGCAAGGAGCGTGTGAACCACTTGATAATCCGGTGGCATTCACTTGTTTGCACAGCTTGTCATCTGTAGACGGAAGCAACTCATACATGCAATCGTGCAATCGTGCCCAAATCTACAGCAGCCTATGGAGAATTCATTGCGCGTGTTTTGACACCAAAAGTGCATCCCGATAGGATTTATGGTTTTGGAGAAGTTGGGGTCTTTGAGGAACGCAGCGCGACAATTTACGGCCCGCTCCAGCAGCGACGATTCTGCGGGTCGACGACTGTTTTATGAACGGAGCTGTTCATCATTAACATATGCTCAAACTTACACAAATACACGTCATCGCGCCCAGTATTAACCAATAGTCTAGCATGTAGTGAAAAACAAAGTCGTGCCCTTGATACCCTGACCATGTCCAGAACAACTTAAAATTTTCATTACCTGTTCAGATTTGCCAAAATCAGTGACGTACGACAGACAAAAGGTCAACCTCTAAAAAGCTTTGACCACGCATGCTTTGTGGTAGGTCGTTTGCCATTGTTCAAGCTTGCTATAGTAATATAACTTGACAGCATCCATAATTTTATTAATTCCGTTTTTAAACAGGCAAGGTCAGTGACCTGAGTTCAGGTCGGTTTTGGCTATTATTTAAATAATACAAACGTGTACACATTTTTATATAGTTTTGGTGCTGGCGTGTAAGGAAAAGAGCACTAACTGACATGCACAGTTATCGTGTGATCACAGAGTACATGACCTTGGCCCGTGTCATGACCTACCTTTTTGGGTGCATTCTGCAAAACACATGTCAAGCTCAGAATAGGCAGCTTGAGTAGGTTGTTTTAGGCGCAGAATTCGAATATATTTATGAAGGTATGTTGTGGTATCACTCCAACAAATAATAAGGTCACTGGGTGACATAAGGACATACGAGGCCACATGAGGTCATCCAAGGTCAATAACCTTTGTTGTCAGTAGCGGAGAGGCTAGATGAACGAGTGTCACGCTTGTAACCACCTCTATATCGGGTTTGTAAGCTGATGACGCGTAGTTTCATGTACAAACGTGTCTTCTATTGGTTTTTTTATTTTTTAGTTTTGTTTATTTTTTTATTAAGTTAAAATTATTATTCTTATTAATGTAATTTCATTTTTTAATCATTTCGGTTCTCAGTGTAGCTAGGTTCCGCGACGCTACAAGACATTGTCTCGTAGGTATGGAAACGCTAGGTTGAATGAGTTCAGTTTCAGGAAAATATTACCTTTGAGCTGGCATAATGGTGGGTCAATGATTAAACTAGCAGCATGCAGCTTGTTACTTATCACGAGATCTCGTTGAGACCAATCCATTGATGTTTTCTGCTAGACTCCATCTCTATTCGTTTGGAAATGACGGGGAAGGGGTTGCATCACCCTATCAATCCTCGTTATGAACAAACGGTGAATGAGGGGAGACTTATTCGACCTGAGCTCTCCCAGGCACAGGGGTCCATTATTCTAAGGTTATCTCTCCTACCAGCTTTTCTCTTGCAGCACACAGTCATCACACATATACGTCAAGCACATGAATCAGCGGTGTTTACAGTGGATTATTGTTTATACTTGATAATTGATCTTTGATTTATTCAAATTTTTCCACATGATGTGACCATGTCGCCATCAGTGGCTTTGCCGTCACCACACAGCTGATTTTCTGTGTGGTAAGATCCAGGGCTACCGACTGTTCTTTGAATCGATGGCATGTAGCTTGCTGAAATGTATTTATATACATTCAAACTGCATGCAGAGCTGCTGCATCCATGTAGTGCTGTTTCTTTACGGCTCCTTCAATCAGTAATCGACTTACTCTGTTGCAATTCGTCTGCAACAAAAAGGCTTCAGCATCGCGTGTATATTGCCGATACGTCTACAGTGATGCTAACTTAGTATCTGCCCTCGATTTGCGTCGCCTATTGCGCTACACGCGTCCTGTATTCTAGCTCCCAGCTCATTGCAGGGCAACTTGCCCCCGCTTCCAGAAGAGCCAAGCGACTGGCAAAAAGAAAGATGTAATAAAAATCAGGAGCTACTGCGGCGCTGTATGCCTTCCTGCGCAGGAAGCTGCAGCATTTCTCGACTTTCGTAACATCCTTATTGTTTTCATTTGCGCGCCTCTTCCTTTGGCGAGGGCGAGTTCGCCCGCAACGAGTTGGCAGAGTCAGAAATCAGAATGCATATATCGCAATGGGCAACACGGACCAAGAGCCAGCACGAGGGCTGCGTCACCGCTGCAGGCGTAGTAACGCGATTCGCCTAACACTGGGGTCAATTTGTTGTGGATGAATAGCAAGGGAATGAGCGGACGACCAGTTTAAAGCAGCGGTCAATCAGAAGCAGCTGTACGGGGATGCCCAAACGTCGTTTATAGTTCGTTATACACCCCAACCAAATGTGCCGATGAAAGGTCCTGGCCGCAGGGCGTCTTGACCCGCCATCCACCGAGAAGGAACGTTTTTGCCCCAGTTGCCACCTCTGAAAGTCATTCAGTACTTCGCCAGTGTGGTGAAAAGCTGATAGCTCAATGGTTTTCACTTCCAGCGAGTACGCAAACGGTATCCAGGGCGGCTAGTGTTTGTGGCGGCTTAAAGTGCATGATGTGGCATATTTTTACAAGTAACTAAACTTTAAACCACTTAAGGGGCATGCACGTTCTTTTTAGCCACGACTGAACTCAAAACGGTCTTAGTGTCATTAAATCATTGATAAGCGTATTGTTGCTGCCATCCGTCACTTATGGATGAACTCTTAAAGCATCCTCCGTTGGACTCTGATAAGCATTGTCGAACTGACTCACAACACCACGATTCTCAACACTCGCCTGATCTCTCGGGACGAAAGGCAAGTAAATAAGGCCCGTTACTCGGATGAGGCCGGAATGCAGGCAAGGCTCGAATCTGGCGGGGTCCAGGTCTGGTGCCGGACGTCTGGCGCTCTTCTTAGGAGGCTTCTTTTTGGCCGGCGTCTTCCTGTTGGTAAGCACTTGAGTCAACTGGCCGCACCTAACAGGACAGTAGCGGTAGCGCCGGCGTGGTCACTAATGAAAACACTGGCGCCCAGCCCGCCATTATAACCGAGGCTGGCGTTGTTGCCGCGTTGCCGGAGCTCGCTGACCCCGCTCTCGGTCCCAGTGTGACCTCCCACCCGCTCAGCGCCTGGTCCCGGCTCTGCTCGTGGGCAGAGCCGGGCGTCCCGACCTGCAGGCAGCCCGCGAGGCACGGGTGACTGGCAGGCCACCCACCCGGGGGCCAGGCGCCGACCGCTCGCCCACGCAACATATACAGGTAGGTGGCTTTCAGCAGATATATATATATATATATATATATATATATATATATATAGCTATAATATATATAGCTCGTTTACAATCGTGAAATTCAACTGATGCTTTGATGGTGGGGTTGAGGGGTGGAAACACACTGTCAATATAAAAGGCATCAACCTCATTTACTAGTGGAGGCTGGAGGTTAAGTGAAGCCTAGGGACGAGTCGGGTGTAAATGAATAAAAAAGATCCGCGCATAGATTAAAACTCAGCCCTGATGCGACATCGCCCAGGCCTGTGGCAAACAAACCAGGGACAGAGGACAATTGACATCGCAAACCAACAGCAATCAGCTAAAAATTGGCAAACTGACCGACTTGCACTACCTTTCATGAGTGAACACAACGCTGCTGGTACGAAATTCAGCAAGGATTATCGAGAGCAGAAAATTTCCGGTTATAACGAGCATCCATCTTACACCAAGGAATGTTCTCTGAACGTATACCTGAGCTGTCTGGTGCAAAAATATCGCTGACCACGCGACGCTAGATCATACAAAAATGACGTCAGAAATAATAAACAACCCTTTTGTAGGGAGTCTAGAGGCAATTACCGTCATAGAATGACTAGATATGCGATGCGCCTCTGGTAGAAATGGGTCTTAACACCCAGTATGAGGACATTCGAATTCAGGCAAGGTTATACTCGACCTTCATATTACGCCGAAATCAACAATGTGTTTCGCTGCCCTGATAACGTAGCAATGAAATGTGGCCTAAATAGTTCGTTGTTCTCACAAGGAATGCTATGCCCATCGAATGTAAGCATAAAAGTGTTTAAGTTACTAACTAGTATGTCAGTTTACCGTACATCGCATTGGTGTTTTCTAACAGCTCATAATAATGTTTGAAATATGACGGAATGTTATGTAGCTATCTAGCTTAACATGCATATATCAAGGATGGGTTCAAGCATGACCAAGTATTTACCTCATCATACACCAGTTCACATTGGCATTTATCCCCCAATTGAGCAATCATACACCACAATTACACGGATGCGAATGCGTTGTCCGCTCCGTCCGAATCTCTGACGTCATTCATGCATGACACAGACATGGAAGCTGCTACCTATGTTCCGGGTGTATATCGACCACGTTGACCTACACCTTGATCTCCAGACCGAATCTCCAGTTGAGTTCCAGGCTTGATCTGGATAAGCAACGACAGGACTACGCAGTTTTGGATCGATGTTGATGAAAGAAATCCCTTTAGAATTAAGCGTTAACCGTGTGGAACACGACACATTACTCTAAAGATCGGTCGGCTTTTCCTTTTAGAGGTAAAGATTGATCTGGGGTCGTTTTTCCTTGTATTTGAGGTATGCTGCACAACCAGCCATGACACTGGTAGACACATATATTTGGGTCATTCAAACTGGGGTCTTAACAGCACCATTCAGATGTTTGAAACATGAAGTACTCGCATCTATTATTCAGCGAAGTCAGTCTGTCTATTCCAGTAACAGATTGGGCGCAACCAACCCCGATTTCCTAGTAACTCGCGGGCGTATGAATACCCCACCCAAACTCGGATTGCTCAGGACAAGGCTCGCACAGGCCATTTTCCGTGACTCATCAACGTTACCACACGATCAGCTTCCAGGTCTTCGTGCCGTTTTTTAAAGAAATTCTTCCGACTGCGTTTTGTTTAATTTGTCGTTTGCACTTCCAGCGACGAGATGCGTTCCGATTCAGCGCGTCTGGCCGTGCTTAATAAGCGGCGCGCTTTGAGCGGAAAGCCGCGCTAACGAAATTACCGCTTTTAATGGCTCCCCAAGATACCGCATTTGCAGATTGATTCGCCTACCAGCCTGTGCTGTAAATTCAAAGGGACCGAATACCGATTTTAGCATCTCAATACAAAAAGGTATTTTTAGAAATGTGTCGGCGTTAACACTCGCCTGACGAGGCTGTAGCCCGACCACAGCCTCACTCGCCTGACGGGGCTGTAGCCCGACCACAGCCTCACTCGCCTGACGGGGCTGTAGCCCGACCACAGCCTCACTCGCCTGACGGGGCTGTAGCCCGACCACAGCCTCACTCGCCTGACGGGGCTGTAGCCCGACCACAGCCTCACTCGCCTGACGGGGCTGTAGTCCGACCACAGCCTCACTCGCCTGACGGGGCTGTAGCCCGACCACAGCCTCACTCGCCTGACGGGGCTGTAGCCCGACCACAGCCTCACCCGTCAAGAGGAAAGCCCCGACAGACGCACTACTTATCTTTCAACGAAGGCAGATAAAGTGATGAAATAACAAGCTGCCTTTTACTCGTTTGCTGAACTTTTTAAACTATATGGGGTATTTGGGGGGTAGACTAATAGCTGACATTCAAGAGCATTATAACGACGTAAGGCTCATCATACTGGCATTGTGCTGTAGTGTTCTCGCCAGTATAGTTCCCAAAGGTGAAAACAAAAGCCATTTCGTAAGCACCGGCGTGTTCAGTGCGGTCTTCCTGTTCAGTGAGGGGTCAGGTTTTTATTCTGGCTCAGCTGGGGACACCTCTAGGTTACAGAATCCTTAGCGCAGCATTAAGTCGTGGGACTATTCATGATGCATGCCGATGGATAATAAAGTGCATGCTAAATAGTCCGATCACCGGTAGCTACCACACCAGGCAGGGTGTGTTCGCGAATAAACAGCCGGCGCAGTGATCAATTTCTAAGCTGATTTAATGTACTTGCTTTAGTTTTTGGTCGATCTATGACCTCGAGGTCTATCTAAGCCGTTTGAGATGCACACGCTCTGCAATGCATAATTTGGATTGCATGCATTTTTAACTTGACAGGTGAATGTCAGACTTTACAACATCAAAGCATATATTTCCTGTATCTGTCAAATACTTACCACTCGCGTTGCGTCGACAAGGTAGGCGGCGACGGGCGCAAGAATGCGAACGCTTTCAGTTTACTTAAAATTGGAGCCATGTCAAAGACGTATGCCAGGTGAAACGAATTCACAAAGTTTCGGTGTGTTGCAATATTAATCATAATGCAGATGTTACTCAACTAAAGCTTCTGCTGTAAAAATGCATTTAACCTGTTCTAGTACCGATAATGATCATAATGCAGATTTTATGCGATTAAGGTCAATGCTGTAAAAGTACACTTAACATATCGTAAGCATATATTGTAACTGCGGACAAATTTGTCAGATAGTAGCGGAACTGCCTAGATGCTGCATGCAGGCCCAGCAAGTAAGGGGCTCATAAAATTGCTCGACACGTGGTTGGGCGGGGGCCGATATCTGATATCTATGAGAGCTGAACCTTGGTGTGCATGTTCATTTTGGTCTATTTATTTCCGTCATATTTGAACCATCTAAACACGAAGTGGCAGAACTTAAACGCAGTCATATGTATCTTACACGTAAGTAAGAGTGGCTACTTTTGTATAAACCACCTAAGGTCAAGCTCAAATGGATGACCTCGGTGGAAAACAAGTGGTTGAAATTATTTTCGCGTTGTTTTCGACGGTTTATCCTTGCCGAAATCTCATCCTGGTACCCTTTAGCCCCGCCCCCAGTTACGTGGTCGTTGGTTAGTGTGTGGAACTGATAAACGGCCCCCGCCGCCCCGTCGCCGCGCCTCTGCGGCAGACCTGAGCCTCGCCGCCCACCGCCGCGGGCCGGGAACTCGGGCACGGGCGACATGCGCTGCGATGTATTTCAAGTCATAACTCATTGTTAGAAAAATGATTGCTTGAAACGTGATGCATCATACATCATACATATTTCATAGTCGCGTCTTTGACACCATTTTCATGCTTCAAAATTTTGAGTCGAAGATAAAAAATTGGGTGTGCTTTTTATCAATTTGTTGCTATTTGATACACCAGCATTTAAATGTGCAACATAAAAACAACGTTTTGATAAGGCATATGAATTATGGACTAAGTGGCTCACATCTGCCATTGACAGATTTAAAATATGTTCTTTCAGTCCGTTTTTTGTGTCAGTTTGTCTTCTTGCGCTTCTGTCAAAAATTGGCAAACATGAATTTACTATGACGTCACTTACGATTCATTTATTTTCGTTTCATAGTTGTTATATTTTGGCACAAGGCCTAAACGTCATTAAATAACAGCTATCGAGAATTTCGCAGCGATATCTTGAGGTGCTTTTTTCAATTATGACGAGTATTGGACAGGGGGCAAATTTCTTACCCCCCAGTCAATGCCGGGTAAACCCCACTGGCATTTTGGAGAAACTTTGAACTTATTAGAAATATCTTGGTTAAAGCTGTTCGCGTCAGGAGATCTGAGAGCATTTCGGACACCGCCCGAGAGTTTAACCTTGCTTGGCATTATTTGAATCGTAGTTACAACTTAGGGACCTCAAAATCTGACTTGGTAAATCCAGATGGAGCTGTACCTGTCCTGTGGATCTGGGCACATTATTTATTTTAGTTTTGAGATATCAGAGTGATCAGATTGCCCCCACCCGAGCGCGTCAGATTGCCCCACCCGAGCGCGTCAGATTGCCCCACCCGAGCACGTCAGATTGCCCTACCCGAGCGCGTCAGATTGTCCCACCCGAGCACGTCAGATTGCCCCCACCCGAGCGCGGCAGATTGCCCCACCCGATCCCATTGAAACGTTCACCCAGGCCAATGCTAACCTTATGGAAGTCATTAGTTAGTCAT